GTGAAGGCAGAATAAAATCTAATAAGGAAAGACAGAGATACATACACAAACACATTTTTCTTTTTTAAATTCCAATTGCTCATACCAAAGACACACTGGCAGCTAAGCCTAGTCCTCCCTGCAAATAAATGTCTTAAAACAATGAGATGTGGAGGACTTCACAAGCAAGTCATAAACAGGGGTGGGGTAAGGTTGTCCTCTAATATTTGTTTCACGAATATGAGAAGCATATTTTATGAACTGGCACAAGACTTGGACTAACTGAAAAAATATGCCTATTTAGACTGGGAAGTTGATGTTCTGAGCCTGTGTATTCAATCCCCAAAACTAGAATCTCTACAGCAGTGCTCCGCTCCATTGAGGGGCAGACCGTTTTCATGCTCCAGAGACTCCTCACTGCAGGCCTGGCCTCTCCATGTGCCCCACCAGTCAGCTGGTTTGTGAGAATGTATCTGTGACTGAAAACTGGCTCACTGAAGTGTAGAAAGGAAAATTCAGAAAGCTGTCAGTAGTGAGCAGGTTGGTTGTGAAGAGGATATCACGGTATTATCTTGAGTTTCTTCAAATAAAGGTGGAATAAAAATCAGAGCTACTGTATTTCTTGCAGATTGAGAGGTAGGGGACAAGGGACAGTAAGGGACCATTTTTCTGGCAATCCTAGCAAAATCAAAGGCACTTACATCCCAGTTCCCAAACTTTTAGCCATTTCTATCCCCTGACCCTTCTTGATGGGCAACACCAGACCATAAATGAACATGACCCCAAAGAGGCATTGCATGATGTGGATGATCAGGTAACCTAGAAAAGAAAGCACAAGCCAGAAATTAAAAAGGTAATATAAGGACACTCCCAATAGCTAGGGAAAAGCTTATGTTCACAACAGAGATTACATACCCCAGAGTAGATAGGCAATCTGCCAACCAGAATACCTTGCAATTGCTACCTGTTAATGTCAAAGCAATAGAAAAGAAAGAAAGAAAATAGACCAATGTTTATATATTATATATATAATTCATTTATTAGCCAATTACAAATTCCACTGATTTTAATTGAAATAAAAATGCATGGTTCTTATCCAAAGAACCACAATGTGCCTTTTGAAGTACCAAATACATATAATGTAAGACAAAAGCTACCACCCCCTCCTGAAAACTTATTGAAATTACCTCTTTTCCCTTTCCCATCATAACAATGCATCAACACAAACAACCACCTCAGCATACAATCAAGTCTGCCTCTCCTTCAGAGCCTCACTGACAAAAATCTTTACCCATTAAAACTGACACACACATTCAGATGACTTCCAAACCTGGAACCCCATGTGCTTACTGAGAATGGACAGGAGTAAAAGAAAAGTCCAGCCGTAGCAAATAAGTAAAATTAGTTCAGGATGGAGTTTGCTTAGAGCTACCATATCAGGGCTGCAAAATCCAGACCGCTACGAAGACAGAAGAGATACAGAAAATTCTATTTCTTTGCTTCCATCTAGAGGTTGTCTATTTTTGGCACATTTGGTAGCTCTAGTGTAAACCTCACTGTACCATTGCACTTAAGAATAGCAATGTTCAATATTTATAGCATAGTTTAAGGCAGTGTTCCTCAACCTTGGCAGCTTTCAGATGTGTGGACTGCTGGGGAATTCTGGGAGTTGGAGTCCACACATCTGAAAGCTGCCAAGGTTGAGGAACACTGGTTTAAGCTATAGTAACAGGAACTTAGTAACAGGAAATCCTTCAGTTTACAGAAGGCAGAAGTCCATCAGCTATATCTGCTGGAAATGTGTGTGGATGGATTGTGGAGCTGTTGCATTTCTCCCTACACAATTACTGTAGTGTAGGGAAAATCTGGGGGAAGCATTATGTCTTATGCATATGTAATATGCATAATTTTTCAGCAGGATTTCCATTAAGTGATTGGAGAAGGTTGCGATCAAGCAATTGGGATTGTCTGCAGCTTGGACGCATCCCTAGCCAGTCCAAATTTTATCTGAAAGACGAATGCAAACTGTGGATGCCAAGGACAATGATTTTTAAATACAGATAAGTAAGTGAAGCTTAGCAAATTCTTTATATTTTATGATGGGTGGATATTAAGTATTTATTTCCAATCTCTTTGTCTTTTGAAGCACAGGTCAACATTGGAATAGATTTTATTCTCGCCTTAAAATAAAGGCTATTTTTGGTTATTGTGAAGTCTGCATATATGCCTGATGATTAGAAGAATGCTGTCATTGTTCCTCTATACAAAGTGAAAGCTAGAAAGGCCAAATACAAAAACTGCAAGGGGATCAGTTAGAATTAGGTAGAATTCTGATCGAAAGGATACAAAAAAGAGTTTGCTTAAAAAGTAAGATGGACACGAAGGAGAAGTTAACCAGGATTAGAGAAGGGAAAACTAAGAACTCACCACGCTTTGAGAAGATGAAACTTTGCTAAATAACACTGGAAGGAATTGCTTCTGTCCAGCCCGTAGCCTCTTGATATGTTTTCTAGAAAACAAAGGCATTAATGCACATTTTTGAGGCAGAATTTCGTAACTTCTTTAAACCATACATTTTCATATAAGAACCCTGGCCTGCAAACAGATGTACAGTAGATGATCACAAACTCGGGAAGAAGATCAGGGCATACCTGTAGCAGACTAAGATATGGAACACGTAGCTGACACTTGTGAGACAGGCAGAGCCAACAGTGAAGATCCAAACACCTACGGAGAAGCAGCTTTGGTGATTTATTTTGTCTACAATCCCCACAACCAAATGCCATATCACATTTCCATACCCAGCAAGCACAAGCATGTTAAAAAAAACAACTTCAGAGTAATTTCTTTCATCTTTGCCCTGTTACATCTCAGTTGCTTTTCAATCCAGAAGTGAAACTGGAGATGTACAAAGGAAAAAGCTAGCATTCTTCACTCTATTATGGACAACACCTATTCTTCCTTGACGATAGTATGCCTTCTTAGCATAAGGAATGAGAAATAATTCTCTCTCCCTTTAAAAAAAAATCATTTTATTTTATTTTATTAAACTTCAAAAACACCACAATTAACATTTTCTTTAAAAAACAATACCTTTAAAAAACTATAAAGTGAAGAGGGGAAAAAACTATACTAATTATCCCTACAGTAAACCTGAAAGTCCTAAGGCATGTCGCTCCCACATACACACACACACACACACACACACACACACAAAGAAGCCAATGGTATGTGTTCCTGGTCATTTCTGGACAAATCTATTATCCCTAACTATTTGTAGTATCTACTGTTGTTATTGGAAAAGTAGTCTTTGAAGAGATGATTTTCAGCTTCCACCCAGACTGAGAATTAGAAGTTCCCTGAAAAAAATCTCACCCTAAAACAGGAGAAATGACCAGGTAGAGCAGATCAAGGAGATCCTTTATAGAATCCCATCCCATCACTGAAACGTTCCTTTTGCCTTTTTGATCTCAAGACTGCCTTACTCTTTCGTTATGTGTGCACCAATGTAAGCAAACATAAAGAAGACAATCACATTTCAACTGAAGATCTATTGTAACCACTGTATTTATTTCAAATGTGAACATGAAATCCATAAAACATGACTCAAAAGGCACCACCCATATTAGTTCTGTAGCCATTATTTACATATGTAATAAACCTGAGATTTATTTTAAAAGTTTGATGTCCTCATGACTATACCTTTCACAACTTCAATGAATTCCTTCAAGGGTTGGACATCTGACACGTTGCTGGAAGCTGGAAGCATCTCAGAATTTGACATCAGAATTACCAGCGTACATGAAACAAGCTTGTAAACATAACACTCAATCACAACAAACTGGAAGAGAAAGAGAGAAGCAGTTATTCAGTGATTTAGTGATATTGCTGGCAATTTCCCGGTCCACAAACAGATGCACAACTTGAACCCACAGCTCAGACATGAATATTTTATGTAGAAGAAAGTGAATCAAGAATCAACAGCCATCACTGGCTAATATCTCTGAGAATAACCAAAATTAACCCTTCCCAGAGGTCTTTCTTATGATGTGAGAATAGCATTAAGGCCAGTGCTATAGAGCAGGGCTGTTGAGAACTCAACCTTATGTCTCCCCATAAACAGATATTACAAAACATATTTCATGTACCTTTGTTCCTCCTACCCACAACAGTTTCATTATGTTGGGCTGCTCCTGCAAAGCAGACTGTTTCTTCACATTTTGGGTAGGAAGGTGTTATACAGAGCAATGGAGAACTCAAAATTCTCTTCACTCAGGAGAAAAGAAAATCTGTCAGATATTAAATAGGCCCTTTATTTATTTAATATGAGTAGCAGATTAGGGCTTTACATGAAAATCTCTATAGTTTTGAGGAACAAGAAGGATGACTGCAACAACACTATTTTAATACGGCTAAATTATCATCAATTTGGAATAAATTGATTGGAATTGCGCCCAGCACCCAGAAGACAGAGCCCTACACCTTACCTTCAACAATCCCACACCTATTCTTTGGATTGCAAATAACAGCTGATACTCAGAATGCCTTGAATTTAAGAATAGTCAGATAAGATTGGAAACACCCATGGTTTCCTGGCTCAACATGTCATGCGTGACCCACAACTCTTTGGCTTACCATGTACAGGCAGATGATCGCAAGCACCATTGTACTGATCATTCGGCTGGGAAATTGAAAGTAAGGATCCCATTCATAAATGTTCTGCTGGATCCAAGATTTCTGAGGCTTCCTGTTTTTAAGGAAGACAGTATGGACAGCATTGGGGAGATGGGTAACAAGAAAAAGAGAACAAGACTTTCTTGCCATCATTCACTTTTTGTCTTTTGTCACCCTTAATCAAAATGCAGCCTTCTTCAATACCACATGCCTTTGTTCACGATTATATAAACCTATTATTGAGCTTCTATATTAGCTTGACTGTCAGTCAGTTCAAGCTATTTTCTCTTTCCGGGGAATGGTACCTAAGATGCCACCTTTCAGGAAACGCAGTAAAGGCAAGGGGAATGGATTGGGACTAATCAAGATACTCCAATGGAATACCAATTCTCAGCCCTGGATTAACCATTAAGAAATATAAACACAAGCTTAGGGCAGCAAGGGAAGGGAGGCACCACAGAGTTTTTCCCCCTAGCTGTCATGTCCTTAACTTAGTGTTTCTCAGCCTGGGCAGCTTTAAGATGTGTGGACTTCAATTCCCAGAATTCTCCAGGCAACATGCTGGCTGGGGAATTCTGGGAGTTGAAGTCCACACATCTTAAAGTTGCCAAGGTT